TTTTGTACAATTTCCTTATTTCTAAACACCACCCACTTCATATCTGGCATTATGTCTTTTGTTCTAGCACCTTTATACTATCAGAATTATCATCCTTAATTTTTCATTTTGAATTTATTTGAAAATTGTTAGATATTTTTTTTATTTTCATTTTTGTTACTAGACTATTAATGGTATATTGTACTTTCCATGGCAAAGTCGTGTTGTATTTTGGGACGAAGTTCTATGTTACAAGAAATAAACTTTACTTATATAGCTATATATATTTGAAAATTGTTATATTTTTCACTTTCTTCTTTGATTCTATATATATGGTATCTACTTGAGACTTCATGTATGACAATGTTCATAAGCCTAAGCATCTTTATTACAATAGTTATTATTAACTAATTATATTAACGACAAAACCTGGATATTTAGTTTGGAAGTATATACTCAGTGTTGTAAATTAATAAAATTGACATAACATGAGTGATATTTTATATTGACTTCATTATTAATTTTGTCCTCAGACATTTGTATTGATGCTTGTCTTATAGCTAATACAAATATATTTACATAATCTGTTAAAAGGGACTCAATTGAGTTTTTTTTGACATAACAGAACTGAAAATCATTTTTTCGAGATTATTATTCATTTTCATGTAGTTTTATACCAACAACTTCTGTTCATAAGCTTGATCCAATATTCCAGAAGAGCTATTATATTTGTGAAAAAATTACCCAAAAATTGAAAAGCGTTCAAAATCGGAAAAGGAATAGCAAAAACATGATTTTCAATGTATTTCTGAGTATATTATTATTTAACTTTTGTTTAAGTGCCCCAGTTGATTTATGTGAGAAATTAAATTTTTATGTTTTTAGGCTTTTGGAGCTCAATGGAGTCCCTTTAAATGATCCAGTTAAACATCATAATTTATACATCTACTGTTATTATATTGATTTTCAAGTATATCTGTTTGGAAGAAAAAGTCAAGCTATTGTGATCATAGCTGCCAGATTGTTTTCATTGTACAAAAAAACTTGCCCATTATTCAAACATTTTAAAATGTATCAAAATGAAGCTGTAAACAACATTATTCTTTTGGTTAATTTACTTCATATCTTAGATTACATATTAGAAAAATACACATAGTTAAAGGCTCTGCAACATTTCTACAATTATTTTATCAGTGTGAAAAGGGAGAGTAATCTCCTTGGAAAGTATAAGATAAGCACAGAAGAGTTGTTTCCCCTTGAAAAGTTGTGCCATAACAGATTTATTGCTCTCATGTTGATGCAAGAATGTTTTATTTGAAATAAGATTGTTGATTTGTTAATAAAAGGCCTAATTGAGAAGGCAAAACAAAATTAGTTGTTGTTCATAATGTTGAATTGTCATAAGAGTGTAGTCAATTGTTTCACCTTGGTTACATTTGGAAAAGTTTTGGAGATTTAGGCCCTTCACCTGCTGGAAACTGAAAGTTGTTAGCCATACTTATAGAGACAGGCCCTATGTTCACCAAGATCAGGATCAAATTAAAAAATCTTAAATATTTTCCATTGTTTATCCTCACTGAATTAATATTAACTTGATAGAATTGGACTTTAGATAGCATAATTATAAATTTTTAGCTTGACTATTGGATAAGAATAAGTAGAGCTATTGTAGTCACCCTAGCGTCGGCGTCCGCGTCGGGGGTAACCACTTATGTTAAAGTTCTTGTAGTACCTCAAATATTTTCAAAGTCCATTGACATATGGCTTTGAAACTTTGCACACTTGTTCACCATCATGACCCCAACTTGTAGACAGGAGGAAATAACTGTATTAAGCATTTGGACAGAATTATGCCCCTTTTTTGACTTAGAATTTATGTTTAAGTTTTTGTAATACCTTAAATATTTTCAAAGTCCATTGACATATGGTTTTGAAACTTTGCACACTTGTTCATCATTATAACCCCAACGTAAAGACAGGAGGAGATAACTGTATTAAGCATTTTAAAAGAATTATACCCCTTTTCTGACTTATAATTTACGTTGCATACCAGATATTTTCATATACTATTAAAACAAGTTGAAATTTTATACTCTTCTTTGAGAGCATAATAAGACTCCCTTTAAGGCCTATAACAGTAACATGGATTTCAAGGAAAATTTAGCCCTTTTGTTAACTTAGAAAAATTTACATTATCAAGGCTCTTTTACTATCAAGCACTAAGAATAGTTGAGCGTTGCTGTCCTAACGACAGCTCTTGTTAGAATAAATTTATGGTTATTTAACAAGATTTAGGCATTTTACAGTTGATCAAAATATTGTTCCTGATCCTAAAATTGATTCTTAATATTTTGATCCGATGATATTATTTTGTTATTTGTCGATATCATCTGCCTAGTTTTAAAACAGCACACTCCCAGATTCTTATTGTTTTAATAGGGATTATTTAATGTCCTGTGATTTAGTCAAATGTTCAGATTTGAAGTTATTTAGAAAATTTTAAGCAGTTACATAATACTAGCTATTGCATTAATAACTGGTAGAACTAGTAAAACAATATACCTGAATGTGTGCAGTTTTAACTACTGTACTAGCATGTCCCAAGCCATGGTAAAAGCAGAGGGGGAGAAATAAATCTTGTATTTGTGTTATTTTACATGTTAAAAACTAAACATTTTATATGTTCAGTAATTGGTTTGTCTTCCACCTTCATGATGTGTGAAGTGATTATTAGGTTGCCAATTTAATATCACTTGCCCATAACCACTGTGGGTTTTAAATCATCAAAGACTTTATGAGGAAGCTATCAAGTAAGCATATGAACTGTTGATGGTTCTACCCGGGTACCTGCTTGTGCCTGAAATAAGACTGGAAGAGGCACCCATGGCCAAGGTCTTATGCTGTAAAACTGGAATATTACCATAGTTATAACCTTTATAGTTTTGATATGACTTTAAATCAAACAAACAAACAAAAATCCATTAAACTACTGGTTTATCTAACAATTTTTAAACTTTCTGAAATTTGAATCTTTAAATTGATTTAAATTATGTAATTGTGTCTGCATCCATTTAATAGAGGTAAATTTATATATGGATTTAAAAAAAAACAACATTTTACAAGCATTTTTGTATTATTATTCTGTAAGTAAGTTTAGTTTTTATAAATTATACACCTAACAGCTACACCTTGTTGCTACATAAGTTGTAACGTTTCTTTTCCAATTGTAGGTCTGACCATGGTTTTTAAAGTGGATGTAATGTGTTTAAACCTTCCATGCCATTCCCTTAGAAAAACATGGCAGAACATACCCACTGAGCCATTTTTTTTTGTCACATGAATAGTTTTGTAACAAAAAATATCAAGAAGTTCTCTTTAAAAAATTGATGTAACATTCATTTTAATGGGAACTGTAAATATTTTTACCTGCAGGCTGCAGCAATAGACAAATGCATAAGTTTTCAGAAAATGTGTTATTTTACTGATTTTGATATCTGGTTAATCTTGGCTATCGGTTTCATCTTCATTGGTCATGCTTTACGGTCGTGACTTGCTCTAATAAAAAGTAAATTGAATCTGCAGAAACTATGTTAACCCATTACTTCATGAGCATTTTGTGAAAAATGGCTGTTTTCATTGAAAAGTCTCCCGTTACAAGTTCAAATTGCTATAATACTATAAAAACTGCTTCAACACTAATCAAACTTGGCACAAATGTTGACTGGACCATTGCCCTTGCAACAACATGCTCAGGCTTAAATTTTTTGTTACCATGGCAACGAGGGGACATCTCAAAATTGCCAAAAATCACTATTTTGCGTTGATTTTTTCCATCAAAATTGATTTCAAAGTGCTGCAACTTCTCAATGGATTGAGATAGAGTCAAATGCTTTTCAGCGTTGGTTACACGTTACCTTATGATCAATCTGGGGTCATTTACAGCCTCTCACAAGTCCAAAATTTTCTTGGCGATGAGGGGGACTCCGTCCCCCTTCAAACCCCCCAAACAGAAGGGGGCACATCCCCCTTCTGGCAACCCCCCCATGTATCTTTTGGTTGGGGGGCCGCGCCGAAAAAGAGGTCACTTTTTTTAACAACATTTCTCAAACAAAAACAAGTGTGTGGGGCCTAAATAAGGCATTTTTTCATCATTTGAGACAACAAAAAGGGGGGGGGGGGTGAAAAAGGCGTTAAAAGGCGTGTATATGAAGTAATGGGTTAAGGCTTTGTTCTTATCTGATAAATGTGAATGTATTAAAATGTTGATTTATATTTAAACAGGTGAACATTTGGTTGGACCATTTGACGAGTGTTTCTGCCAACAGAAAAAGGGGCAAGGCAAAGGCGTCCGAGACACGGTCTTTGAAAAAGGTATTCAGGCACAATGACATTATGAGTTGAATTTCATAAATGATTGCCTCAACATTAAATGAGTCTGAGGCCAAAAAAACTCTTTTTTTCTGAAAGCCATACAAAACATATAAGTGGTATTGCACTTCTGTGGTCTAAATATGTGTATTTTTTCATTGACATGGTGGGGAATCATTGATATGGTGACCTGTAACGTAACATGGTATCTTAAAGTCCCATTATGCATTTGTAAACTTTATTTGAAATAAAAGAGTATTCAGTTTCACACCAATGACATCAAGTAGAATTCTGATGTAAAAATTTGCATTTGATTTCTTAAAGACATGAAAGAAAAACTTCAAAATAAGCTATAAATATATTGCGCTCATGTAGCGCAAATGTAATAATTGAAGTTATGTTTGGATGAAAAAATAATTACTGAAGAATAGTAATGCGGAAATGAGCAATTTTCTTCAATTAAAGGATAAGTATGATATGTTTATTCAGTAATTGAAATTTTACTCACAAAAGCATTATGTTCCTTTAAACTTAAAATTCTCCTGAAAAAACACAATATTGTTTATAATGTCGCTGGGGGCTATTGCAAGTCCTGTCAGTTACGCATACTCCAAAATATTTTCTGTTAAACAAAGATATTTTCACATTGACACCAGAATCTGAAAGATTATCAATTGCTGCAATACCATGTCATGTGGTCTCCATATCACGTGATTCCCCACCATAATTGCAAGATTAGTTTGATAGACTTAGTACCAGCAGAATTGTTAGAAAATAATGTGTTTACAAAAAAACAACAAAAAAACAAAATTCAGTACCATTTTTGTTCCAATAGAATTAAAAACAACCTACTGTTTTATATATCAAAAATATATGTTGGAAATCTTTGTTAAGTTGTGCTACTAAATTATTAATTTTTAAACAATCCAGGTTCAAGCTTCTATCCAGGCCCAAGCTCCTATCAAGGTTCAAGCTCCTATATATCCCGACTCGAGCTCCCATCCAGGCTCCTGCTCCTATCCAGGCTCTTGAGGAAAGTGCACCAGATTGTGAGTACACCATGCAACTTAGCTTAAGAAAATTATGTCAGTTCTTTTTGTAGCTTTGTGTTGAGCTATAATTGTCGTTTCTCCATGAAACTTGGTCAAAATGTTTGGCTGAAATCTCGGCAAAGTTCAAGGTTGGGTCATGTGGGGTCAAAGACTATGTCACTAGGTCAAATCTTAGAAAAAGAATGCAAACAATTTAAAGGCCACATTTTTGGCCCATTTTTCATTAAAGTTAGTGTAAATGTTCAAATCTATGAAATCTAGAACATGTTCAAAATTAAGTCATGAGGGGTCAAAAATTAAGTCACTAGGTCAAACCTTAGAACATTTTTGGTCTAATTAAAATGAAAATTAATAAATTTGAAACCTTAAAGATTATAAAAATGCCCTCTTTTTCAGAAAAACAATGTGGAAGTGTCCAGGTTTGGCTGCAGGAGGAGGAAGAATGTCTTTTTTAATGACTTTTTGTGTTAAATGTTAAAATAAAATAAGAAGTTAAAGTGTTGTAAGTTTTTAGCTCATCTGAGCTGTGGGCACGAAGCTATTGTGATCATGACCGGTGAATGTCTGTCTCCGCAAATCAGGTGTCCTCAACTTTTATTGTTTTAACACTCTTAAGAGGCCACAGATATGGTTCAATTATAATTAAGCTTGGTCAGCATGCTTACCATCCCTACAGAAACTGGGTCATGTGGAGTCAGACACTAGGTTAGTAGGTTTATTTTGTAGCTAAACTATAAATGTAAAATATTAAAGAGCTTATATGATCGATTGTGTGTCCGTGTCCGCATTGGTTTAAGTTTTTTAAGTCATACATTCTATTCTATGAAAGATATTTAATTGAAACAAGGTACGGTATTTAGTGGGACTACCACTACCATACTAAGAAGGTCTATAACCTTGATGCATTATTTTCAGAATTATGCCCCTTTATTACTTTAAATACCCATGTTTATAAAAAATATAAGAATCTTCAAAGTCTAATTATTTGAATACTATTAAAGTTATTAAACTACAATTGATACATATATACTCATTGGGAGTGACTATACCTACCTTACTTCTGAGGCCCATTAATCTGGATTCATTATTTTCCTAATGATAAGCCTTTGTACTTATATTTTTCATTGTTTTTTCTGATAACAGTTTTATTTATTGATTGATCTATTAAATATTTACCCTCTCCCCTACCCCCGGGGCATTTGATGCACCAAGCAGGCTCAAGGGTGGGGGTTTAGACAAAATTGGTTGTCTCTAGGGTGGGGATTTAGACTTCAAACATTTTAAGATGTCAAATTCCCCTGGGTCAGCCCGCCGCCCCCCCCCCCCCCCCCCCCCCCCCCCCCCCCCCCCCCGGGCGGCATAATATTGATAGGTGCATTAGCAAGGATTGGCTGTAAATGTATCTGATTCTCTTCAGAAAGGCAAGTAAATTAACTGCTTTTAAAAGTTCATGACCATGTTTAAAATCTTGTCCCCTGGCCCTGTGTTCACAAAGATTTAAGGATCAGGATCAAGATCAGGATCAAATTTAAAAACTCAAATATTCTCCATTATTTATCCTCATAGATTAAATATTCAATATTAAACTGATAAAACTGGACTTAAAATATCATGTTTATGAAATTTTAGAATGATTTTATTGTTATTTTTACAAAAACATGGGCATTTTACAGTTGATCCAAATTTTGATCTTGATCCTAAAATTGATCCTCATTTTGATCCAATTACTTTTGTATTTGTTTTGTTATTAGTTGATTTTATCCCAAAATAGTTTGGTTTCCTTGCAAATAAGCCATTATTTACAATTCGAATATGTTCCATTTAATTCTAGCTTATTACAATCAATTTAAGTTTTATAAAACAATGAAAATAAAATCAGGATCACCTGATCCTGATCCTGATCTTTTCTTTGTGAACACGGGGCCTGACTTTACTCATTAGAGAGATCTTTTTTTTTTAGTAACCCTGGCCTTGAGGTTGTAATACTTTTTTCCTGAGGGGCCTGGTGTCAGTGGGTTCATCCTCCACAAATTGTCTGTGACTGTTGATCTTGGACCTTGTTTCTATATGGTCATTTATCTGGCACTGTTTATTTAGAAATCATGTGGGATTAGTAGTTGGTCACTTGTGGAGAAACTGGTAACTACTGGTTATTTGTCCAGGAAACAATGTCAGGTGGATCAACCACCTAGATGAGACAAAAAAATTGTTTTAAAACTAGTGTTGAAAAAAATATATATTTGACACCAGTACTAGAATGTTTGAGGAGTTGTACACAGGGTTGGTTCAAATGTTTAACCTAAATTACATATGAAATTTTGTTTCAAAGATGGATTGATATAAATTTCAAGGACAGATTTTTCTTCATTAATTTTGACAAAATTCCATTATATTTAAAACATCGTAGTGTCAAACTTTGCATCATCTAATCAAAATAAACTTTGAAACTTGATATTCTTATAAATAAGAATGATTTATATATTCAACAGTTTTCTTATTCTGATTTAATAGGATAGAAATTCTTCAT